AACCCTGCAAAGAATCAATAACAAGATTTGGGAGGTGGAGGAGGAGGTTGGGTGGGTGGGTGGAGTGTATGTGTATGTGTGTGTGTGGGAAGGGGTGAATCCTCACAACCCCTTTACAATTTGTGCAAGCGTGGCAGTGTGTGTGTGTGTGTGTGTGTGTGTGTGTGTGTGTGTGTGTGTGTGTGTGTAAAGTTTTGCAGCAGGTAGGCGTCTCTCCCTTGCCTTAGGGCACACGCTTAGGTGGGGCCTGAGAAAACATTTCAGTCTTTTGCACCAGATCTGTTACTCCAACTCTCCCTCTCTCTGCGCAGGCCAAAAATATTAGCAGAAAGTAACACTGTGAAAGAGCTAATAAATTACCCCAGGCATGAGGCAACTCTGGACACTTACACAGACGCACAGAAATGCAAAGTCAGCTTTACAGTCTGAAATTGCGTCAGAGTAAACCGTCTCCCTGCAGCTGACCTACAGTATTGTCACATCTCTGCGTTGCTCTCCATCTCTTTCAGCGCAAGCATCCGTCTCTGCATGATTCAAGCTTCCTCATCTATGGGCTTTCCCTGGTAACTGACCGAGGGTATCCCGTCACCTTAAAAATCAATTTTCTATTCTCCCGCTCCCATTCTCTCTCCCTCTCCCTTTCCCAACCCATCCCCCTCTCTTCCATACACTCTTAAAGGAAAACATTGAGATAACAGCTGCCAGGGCCTCAGGGAGAGCAAGAGGAGGGAGAAAAGAGGTCAAACAGTAAAGAGAGCAGGAATCCAAGGTACAGCTGAAAGAGAAGCGCGCGCACACACACAGACACACACACACACAAACACAGGAGCGCGAGCAAAGACAGGAAGAAACACACGCACACTCATCCTGACTCACACCAAATGAAATGTAATGATATGAACGAGACACTTCATGCACCAACTTTGCAGCCCACTGTGTGCTTGAGCTTCTGTGTGTTTGTGAAATGTGTGACACAGAAATTACAGTGAGGAGGTGTTGTTAGCTGAATAGAGGAGATGCAGAAGCGAGAAGGGAGGAGGAACTAGAGAGAGCAAGAAGAAGAAGAAGAAGAAGAAGAGGGAGGGGAAAGAAAAGGACAGAAACAACTGTTCTGTGGACACCTGTCCCTTTCCCTCACAGGCTTGAGCGATATACAGAGACAGCTGCAGGGGCAATAAAGAAGAAAGACTTTTCTTTTACTTACCTCTCCTCCCCCCTATTTCACTTCCCCTTCACTGTTTGCCTCAGAAATATCTAAAAAGAGTTTATCGCAGAGGCAACACACTATGCCGCTTCATCCAGCTGCACAGACTAACATGCTGCACTATATGTTCACTTAGATTCTTCAGAGCATACATAATACATGGCAGAGCACAGTTTCTGGCAGTAACAGCTCTTGATGTTCAGATTGCGTGCGCTTCTAGCTCTGGGCAGGAGAACAGATGCCACAACAACGGCGTACAATAATACATCGCCGCTTGTGCGTTTCACCACAGCGAATCATGATTGCAGCGATACAGTCTCCAGCCTGTATCTTGCTGTCATCTACGCCTACCACACTAGTTTCAAGTGTTTATATACCTCGTAGCAACTGGCCGCCAAGTCTTAACAGGAGTCTGAAATGCCCTGACTGGACCACTCTAGTAAAGGGGTCAAGTAGAGTCCTCATCTGTTAGTGGTTAATTAACATTTCATGCTCAATGACAGTGCTGCCCGCTCTGATGCCGTTTCATGTACAGTGGAGCTCGAGCTTTGGTCAAAGAGATACAGCGGACGCTTACACAAGCGGAGGATAGGAAAAGATATCAAGATAAACACTCACCGACAACACGGAAGGATAGTACAGTCCCATCATCGTATTCTGTGCAACAACTCAAACTGTCGTCGCTCCTCTCTCCTCTCTCTCTCTCCTTTCCTCTTCTCACGCTGCCTCGCTTTCTCTCCCTCTCCGAGTCTGTGTCACCTCACCAGCTCAGTCTTGTCTGTCTCACAGATTCAAAATCTCCCTCTCTCTGCCCCCGCTCGCTCTGTCTGCCCTGCCAACCACGTCCTCCCCCAAGCCCCGCCTCCTTCCTCCCTCACTCCTCCTCCTCCTCTGCTGGCCTCTGTCCCTGTCACTCTCCCTCGCTTGCTTGCTTTCTTTTCTTCCCCCCTCTCTCTCTCTCTCTCTCTCTCTCTCAGTCTCTCCGTCTTTCTGTCTCTTCTGTCTCCCACTCACTCTTTTCTTTCCCTCTCCCACTCGCTCCTTGCTTTCCCTCTACCCCCAGCCTTCTGTTTTGCTGCTGTGCCCTTGCCTGCTCATCTCTTCTGTCTCTTCTCCAGTCCTCCTCCTCCTCTCACCCAGATAGCCCAACAACCCCCCCCCCTCCTACCGCTCTGCCTCTGTCACACCTGCAAACTTTCCCCTCCCCTCTGCTTCTCTCTCATGTCGCAGTCCCTCCCTCCTCTCTCTCTCTCTCTCTCTCTCTTCTTCTGTTCTCTTTCTCCATGTAGGTGAGTTAACTGGGGCTGCTGGCACCACTGGGAGAGGAAGTGAAGACTTTGCTTCTTTCTCTGTAGCCCCTTTCAGACATGCACCTTGTTACGTAAATGTGCTGGCAATTTTACATCTTTGTCTCATGTTTGAATGGGCATCCAAGTCACTTTTCTGTAACAGTCACGACTGCAATCAGACTAGGTTGGACCTAGTAAAATTTTCATAACACTTCCAACACAGCTCAAGTCTGAATACTGCCAAATTAAAGTTATAACCCTTAAAGCTGCACAAATCACAACATTTAACAACTATTAACAATGGGTGAATTAACCACATGTACTGTAAAAGGGGTCGTTAGGGACATCGTGACAAACCCACAGGTAATCTCTATAGTTTCCCTTTGCGCCTCCAACTTTACTGTTTTGATTCAGTTTCACCACTTTTTTCAACCTTATGTCCAGCCGCAGTCGGCAAAATAAAGCACCGCTAAGCCCACTGTGCACTACACCAAACCTAGTTGGGGAATATAGCATAGCACTTAGCAGCTCGAGAGCCAGATATTTTTCTCAGACACATGAAATAGCATGTGTAATGGCCACTGGGGGCAGGGAAACATGCCTTGAGAAGCTACCCAACACAAGAAGAACGAGTTGTGTATCTCTTGACAGCAAAGCCAAACAACTGTGAGCCGAGAAGATTTATCATGTCACATTATTAAAAAAAAAAAAAAAGAAAAGAGAAAGACTAAAAACGACAGTCAACAACATCTTCCAAAATGGTACGACATCTGATAGATGTCAAGCATGCAATAAAATCTACTATGACAAGAGCAGATCACAGAATGTAAATAACGTATGCTTATACTTTGATATAATGACAACCGCAAGGATTAATTATCATTTCTGATGCACCGAAAAAAATAAAATCATTTTTGATAAATCACAAAATATCCCACTGTAAATGAGAGTTATTGTGTCGTATCAGTCTATTAAAATGTGTCTTCGTGTATTTTTCCTTGTGGTGTTCAAGGAAAAAGATTTTTTTTTAAATAAAAGCTTTTCCGTTAACTAAATAACAGTTGCAGCCCATCATCATTTTTAATTATGTTCAGGTGCTGCTGGACATTAGAAAATATGCTGCAGAATTCTATATTCCAACTATTAAATGCAAAAATAGATAAAAAGCATTTATTAGGATGTCAATGGTAAAACAAGTTTTAACATCTATCACTGATGAAACCTGTGAGCCCCTATTCCTAATGATTATTTTATCTGGCAACTTGCTGCAGTTTCTCAGCAGTACCACCACTGCCTTGTGGCTCTTTCCATATACAGGTTCATGTTTGAATAAAGCCATCACCAGATGATTTACCTATATATAGACCCCCCCCCCCCAAAAAAAACATTACTTCAACAGACAGATAAAGCCAGCAAGGTTTGATATTGCATGTCTGCAAACAGCTCAGCTCTCTCCTCACACATCAGTCTTCTGCTGCTCTCCAGGCTTTTCCTTTCAGGAGTCTTTGATCACATCATTCTCACACTGTTGTTGACAGTTTAGCACCTCAGTGTTGTGGGAGCCTCCGCTGCCCAGCATTGTTTTCTTCCTCTCTGCCTTTTATTCCTGGTCAGAAGCCAGTTCACACTTCTGTGTCCCTGAAGTAGTCCTTGACTGACTTCTTTCCATCCCAACACGAGAGCTGTTCACACAAGGTAACGCTTTGTGATTATTCTTTGAACATTTTCATTTGGGAAGGAAACGGTTCAAAGCTGTATCAACTTACAGTGAAATGAAAACTGGCTAATTGGCTTCCAGGCTTCCGTAATATCCTCTAAGCAGCACAACAGCCAGCCAGGAAAAAAAAAACAAAACTCTCATACAGAAGCAAATAAGAGCGTACAAGAGAAGGCTTACAACCGATAAAGTGCAGATAAGAAGCCAGAGGTTGCTGGGCGTCATGGGGAGGGAGGGATGAGGGGATTATGGGCAGAGCATGAGAGGATGAGTGGATGAACGGAGGATGATCTAAGGATTAACCACATAAACTGAACAGTCTAATAACACAATCAGCAGGCTAATACAAACAAGACTAAACAGATTGTAGCCTGAGACACACACAAACACAATAACATGAACAACATGTAATACAGTTGGTTCTTGTTTGTGTTTGTTTGCAGTCAGAAAAGCAAGAATATTAGCAGGTTTATAGGCGCTAAAAGAAAAAAATCAGTTAGATTTACAAGCTGGGAGATGATTAATAATATTGCTGATTGTTGAGCAGAGAAAGAAAAGTAGTGGGAGGGTTTGACTGGAAGAGTGAAGGGTGTGGAGGCATGTCTTCTTCTACACGACTGACAAATTATAATCTACACTCCCACCTTGTGGTTTACAGAGTTTCACTGAGCCATATTAATGCTATATAAACACTGTATCTATATAGGAAAGAAACTTTAGAGGATTGTCTGGGGGTATGTTATAAAACATGGATTTTTACATGCGTTTTGAGATGTAATTCTGTCCTTACCTGACTGTGAGACGGGTAGCCGTGGTAACCAAGGGTCAAAGGGTCGTTATTCTGAAAGAGAGAAGAGCAGTTTTTGGATATATTGTTAGTATCTTGTTCACTTAAAAAAAAAAAAAAAAAAGTTACCAAATGTTATTTTCATTACTAAGGATTGCAGGTTCCTTTATTCACTCAGTCTTTATTCCTTTTAAGTGGCTTTACACTTCTGTGGTGTTACCGACTCCCAATCAAATTAACTTCACCACCGACACACTCCTGCTCCTCCTCCGGAGTTTTCCACCCAGTGGATCTTTTGTCCGCTTGTAAAGACGCGATAACGGGGGCGAGAGAGATCATGCGAGCATGAGATGAAAGACGGTTGGAAAGAACGAGTGTCACCGCCACTCTTAAATCATAAATAGGTCAGGAGTGTCAGCGAGCATGAAGCCCATTGGTGTGAAATGTTATCATGAGCCCTGATGCAATCTCCCGACGCATTCCTCTCAATGTTCTGGCTGTGTAAAGCAGAGATGGATACACCAAACATCTGGTGGGTAATTACAGTTAAACAAGACGCAGAAAAAAAAATAACTCATTTTGTTGGGAGCCAAATATTAAACAGAAATCATGTCCCCTAGTCCCTAAAATAGTTTGTAACTCACTATTTGTACTCATTATGCTGTGTTCCGGCTTTTATGCTAATGTATTCCATTAAAAAGGAGCTTTTCACAGCAATTACAGCACACTTTGAAGGGGAAAACAGATTTGCCTGTCTCTGGCTTCATATCACTAGATTAGAAAACAACTCAGCTCCTCCCTCCTCTCTCTGTCCTTCCCCCCTGATCTTCCTTTCATCTGGAACCAATGTCCCTTGCCTGCTCTGTCCCTAGGGGGAACACTTTGCTCTGTGCGCTTCACAGCTTGAATTCGCCTGATTAATACTGTTGCCATCTAACTCTGGACCCCATGGGGGCATTTCACTAAAACTAAGCACAATGTTTCCAAATACAAGAGGCCTGGTTGGAAGGGGGGGGGGGGTGGGGGGGGGGGGGGGGTAAGGAAGTGTCTTCGTGATTGAAAAATGCATTTTTTTGTGAGTCTATCTCAGAGCCAAAAATGTACTTAGTGAACTGGCTTTGGGAGGTAGAAGCTCTAAATAATGAATCACCTCTTAGAGGCTTGAATAACATGAATAAAGTATAAACCTTATTTTACAGTGAGGCCAAACTCTAGACGCAACGCACTGAAGGTATGGAGCAGACGGGGAATCAAAACAAGAAGCAACAAATAGAGATTTATTGAGGCGGTACACAGTGTCAAAGTGATGGGGTGGGTGGGGGTGGGGGTGGGTGTTGTTAAAATAGACACACACATCTAGGAACATCTGGAATTTATATGAGTGAGAGATTGAGGGAGGAACCAGAGCTGGAAATACAACGGGAAATGGACAGCAATAAAAAAAAAAAAAAAACACAAAATGAGATGGACGGAGCAAAGACAATGACTCATACATGAGCGGAGTCATGTGCTTAATTTCCTTAAGGAACTGGGAGGAATGAGAGAGGGAGAGCTGCACGGAGGCTGCTCAAAATGAGTGTGCATCAGTCTCACTCTCTGCACCACAGTCACTTGCACAGTACATGAAAAACAAAAGAGATTTTATTGCATATATATTTATAGTTAAACATGTTTCAACCTTTTCTTCTTTTTCGCTTTTTTTGATCTGTGACAAATGAAGCAGTTGGGGGAGGGGGACTAAGAACAGGAGAAGAATCTGCTGAGGAAAACCCGCGTGAGCAATCAGAAGAAAGTAACAAAATGATCTGAAGTCAACAGATGGCAAGGAGGGGAGGAAGGGGAGGACACACCAGCTCGGAGGGTGTGGATGGGGGTGAGGGGTGGGGGGTGTGTGGAGGTGGGGCGGCCCTGCAGTAATAAAATCTGAAGAGAAGGAAAGGATGAGAAGCTCAGTCACCTGAGTTTCTCCTTCACACCATCTTTTCACACAGCGATCCCATATACACATGAACCCTGCTACTCCTCTTCCAAAACTACAGGTAGTGTTAGGTGTGAGTGTGTGAGAGTGTGTGTGTGTGTGTGTGTGATGTCTAATTTGGTCACAAGACTTGCGTCTATTCCTATCATGCCTTGGGACTGCTGCTCTTCTGAGGAGGGGGAGAAGAGGAACTACATTTCACTGCTCATCCTACCTAAACGGCAAAGCAGGGCACTCCTTACGCTCAAGAGGATGTGAATCCATTTCATCCACAGAGCACTTATGTGCTAAGCCTCAAAACATGCGGCAAGACGATCTGATGTTTATTTTCCCTCAATATACCTCACATCCCTTCAACTTTCCACAGTAAACCTACACGTGCGTTTTCAGGGGGATGTTGGCTGGTGTCAAAGTGGATTTTGGAAGCTGGCTTGTCTGTTATGGTGTAATATAATCATGCAGCAGTATCGGCTGGCAAATCACATGCAAACTGATGTCCACTACTCTGATCTGCATAAGATAAAACTGCCATTTTTATCCCCCTATTTATTTCAGATCTGATTAGAGAGAATTAGTATTTGGTAGTAATTATTTACCGCACAGCATAATTGCCCGTCATGATTACCCCACATCATTATATCATTGCAACATCATTCCACTAGGGAAACTAGAGCTTAACACTGGACTTTCGGGACCAGTGTTGATGCCCGTATTTGGTAAAATAAATTTGTCTGCTATTCATTTTCAACATTTTACCAGAGATTTATTAAATTATACAATTGAACTATATACTTTCAGAGTACAGGGCACTGAAAACAAACGAGTCTACTGGAAAAACAATGTAATAATGATCAGATTTCTACATTATATTTAGTGCATATCTAGGGCTGAAATTAAAGATTATTTTAATTATGTGGTAATATACAGATTACATTCTTTATTGCTTTTTTGGTCCAAGTTTCCTCAGCGTATAATGTAATCATGAAAGACAAGGACGCAAATCCTCACGTTTGATGAGAAACAGCAAATGTTTTAGCATTTTTGTTTGAAAAATAATCGCAGCTTATTGTACTTTCTGCTGACTAGCTAACTGCCTTAACATTTCAGCTGTAATTATGTCCTGCTATTAATTTCAAATATTTATTATTATTTTTCAGCACACCAAGCAACATATATAGGCTGTATACTGAAGCAGTGTGCTGATATATATCGATGTATTCAGCAGTGAATACACAAACAAATGCTGTCTAGTTGCTAACTAGGAATTAATATTAATTAATCAATATATTAATATGCATCATCAAAATCAGAAATACTATAAGAGCAACAAATCACTTAAGTGCAGTTGATGTGTGAAGATTACTACACTTAAAGCACATCAGATCTGCCCCAGAGCAGAGCACCAAAACATACACTCTGTCTATTGGTCTCTCAAACATAATTCAGTCAACAGACCTCTGCTAGCGATTTATCACAGAAAAACAGGAGCCCAAAAACTAAATAAATATTCTGAACTCGCAGCAAGAGTACATTTTTCTTGCTGACGTTTTCATTCTATTTCAGTGCCGGGCCTGAGATGAAAGTACAGAGGGGTGATCCACCTACATTAATGTCCTAGTCAAGTCATTTGTCCTCAGTGCTGTCACCCCAGGCAAGACCTTATTAGGTTAGAGAGAGCCCCGGTTCCTCCGCAGAGTGACAACAAAACATGGGCTGCTCAGCAGCACGCCGGATGGATATTGAAGCCGACAAGCTCCTCTCAACATTTGCCAAAATCTGACTCGAGCTGGAGACGCAGGGTGCTGTTATGAATCTCCCGTCGTCCTAAAAAATGCAGGACTTTACCAGTGCAGCAGTGGAATGCAAAACAGACTCATAATGTGTTTTTTCTGGGTTTTTTTTTATTGGGAGTAGTCTAATTGTTGGCCTGTTCATCTTATTATTCATCTAAAATCTACACTAGATGAGCACAGTGTCAGCGCCAGGAGGTCAGCATCTAATTTCTATGAGCAGTGGTGAACATTTGAACTCATTCTGTTGAATGCACCCAGCTTTTTTCTTCCACTAGCTTTATTTGCCCGAGTTAACTGAGCATTCAGTCATGTACTGCATGCTGCACTGACTTATACATGCATTGCTGCTCTGCCAAAACTTTATATATCTGACTTGACAGCGCATTCCACCCCCACATTGTGATGACATCATACCCTACCAGCTAATGAGAAAAACAGCAGGGTCAATGGCCAAATGGGAAAGATCTCATTATTAGGCTGCGGTGGTTTAAATGGATTGCTCTTTACCACAACCACACCTCATTGTGTTGGCTTCAGTTACAGGTCAGAGGTCAACTTTTGCCATGATGTTGGCAATAAATACATTTTATAAATATTTTTTTTTCTTTTTTTAATCGGGGGATGGAAAGGGTGGAGGATGGGAGACACTGCTTTATGAAAGCTGGGGAATGGGTTGCTGTAATACTTTCCATCCTTTACCCTCTTCTGAAGATTAGCTTTACAGAAGTGCTTGTGTGCATTTTTATAGACATTTCATGGAAAGCCAAGTGCTTTAAAAAGCAGGAAAACTGAACGTCACTCAACCCAATTTGTTTCTAGAATATTAATGGTGTCACCAGGTTAGGGGGATAAAAATACGTCACAGTGTTTTACATACACACGCTCTGGGATTGGAGTACGACTGTTACAGTGTGTGAGTCACAAACCACAGTAAAAAAAATCCCCTACGTGGTGAAACTTAGTAAAAAGGTCAACCTTAATCAGTGACACCCAGTATGGCTTTTGGGGAAGCGAAACACCAATTTACGGCTGCAACTAACGATTATTTTCATTGTTGATTAATCTGCCAATTATTTTCTCAATAAATTAATCATTTCGTTTATAAAATGACAGAAAACAATGAAGAATTCTCCATCTCAGTTTCTGAGAGTCCACAGTGAAGTCTTCAAATGTCTCATTTTGTTCAACCAACAGTTCAAAACATTAATTTTTTTTACAATTACATAAAAAAGCAGAAAAACAACATATCAATAATCAATACATTTGAGAGACTTTATATTTTTGGCAATTTTGCTTAAAGAATTACTTAATCAATTAGTTATTTCTCTGTCAATCGACTAATCGATTAATTGAGTAATTGTTGCAGCTCTACACACATTACAACATTAATATTCATAGTGCTGTATGTGTATGTATGTGCATGTGTGTTGTATAAATCCTCTACCTTAGATAATGATCTCAGAGATCAGTGTGGTTATAATGCCCCCTCCAGTATGAGATGTGATCCCATTAGCTGGAAACAAAGCCTCTTTACTGCCAGTGATAGGGCAAATCTGTTCCTGCACCAACTGGGAGAGAGGAAGGGGGAGGGGGAGGGAGGGAGGGAGGGGGTATCTCTCCCACTCTCATTTCCGGACTGTCCAGCCAGCTCACGTTCAATACATTTTAGGTGCTGAAGTATTGATCTGCGCCTCTCTCTCCCACACAAACACACACTCTTCCACTCACATCTGTGTTTAAGTGCATTACGTTCCTAAGCCTGTCTGTCAGCACTCACAGACAGCATGACGATGTAAAGCCAGCCATTTAGTTTTCCAAACAGGAGCAAACAGGCCACTTCACCTCCATTACTGGTGCTTTCATGGCGGAGAAAGAGCTTTCTATTCTAGAAAGGAGTGCTTCACCCGCCATAATATACCATAATGATGTCCTGAGCATCCTCCTGTCCTCCCATGATGCTTTATTAAGAAATATTTGACCATGTTTGGATCACCAGGGGTGGCAAAAACAGCACATTGAGAAATAGGTTAAGAGAGGTTAAATGCAGAATGAGAGGCTATTCCAAACACTGTAGTACAAATGTTGATAAAAGCAGGGGCCTGAGAATCAAGGTAGTTAGATTGATAAGGCCTGAGCTGCTTGCACCCCACTAAAACTGGATGTATTTGTTTACCCCCCTCACAAACAAAAGATCACACAAGCAAACACTGACATCAATTTCCATTCTAAACCAAATGTTGTCCACACCATTATGCCACATGGCAGATGTTTTTTTTTTGCATAATAAAAGGTCAGGTTTGTTTACATTCACCACCCTCAGCTGGGACTTTGCCTGGGCCTTACTGATATTCATAAAACAGATGATGCTCACTGAAGAGTTTTGAAGCAACAGGACGTCTGAGCCCAGACATTACAAGCCAGTAAACACTGTGGATTGAGTTTATACAAATTGTACTGCGTTGCAATTGCTTCTTAAACCCTTAGTAAATATCTGGGGTGCAGTATGGCAGCTGCAGTGTAACTGCCCAATGAACAGCATGAACTGCATTCAATGTGGATTATTGCAATGCCCTCTTACAACTGAATTAAGAGCATGTAGAGTCATCTCTAGCTGTGAAATGTGGTGGTATTTCCTGCAGTGTTGGGAATGGACTGGGCCCATTGGTGGCCCCTCTGCTGCAGCTGTAGCTGTAGCTGCAACTATCTGCATACAACTAACTGCAACCACCACGAGTAAACAGGTTACATATGCAAGCACACTGTAGTAACTAAAAGAGGGTTTCTTTACGTCTGTTTATGGGATAAAAAGATAACCCTATCGTGCATTAAGAGATCCTAGCACCACATTTTTTGCTTTACCGAATAAGTCGCGCCTGCATTGCTGGATTTGTACATAAAGACTCCTCTCCTCACCTGACCAACCTCGCCGATTCCTCCTGAGCCGTCGATCCGGGGACGCTTGCACTCCGCCCCGGCCGAGTCCACCAGAGCCGCCGCCGTCTGTCCGTCAGGCTCCGGGTCTCCTCGCTTCATGCCCCGGACAGCTGCAGGAGCGCCGCCCGGGTTGGTGTGCACCCCGGCCATGGTGTCCAGCTCTCTATCCCGGTCCATGAGACCCCGGGACACTGGCAGCATGATTGATGCAACGTCGGTCGACATTAACATTTAAAAATCTTCTTTTTTCCCCTCGCTCGAGCTAAACTGGGGATAAACCCGACTAATCTTGTGCACCTTTGTGCTTAAACCCAGCCTCTGTACTATGCACTTAAAGCAGCCTTTTAAAGCTGCCAAGTAGCCTCCACTGTGTTTTCTGCTGGGCCTTTGTATGACCCCCTTAAGAGTTGATGTATCTGGAAATGTTTTGGCTCTTGCTGAGCAACACCGCGTTTGGTTTCAAAGACAAATAGCCCATAAACACCGCGTTTAACTTACTGCAAAACACAGCGGTCCAATTTTTAAAAAATGCCCCCTAAAATATAAGCAGGCTTGTCGGGTTAATTTCCTGCGATGTAGCCCCTGTTTGCTGACCGTGTATTTATTTACTGCGGGGCTGCCTGAGAGGCCTTCGCTATTTCAGATCATAACAAACCAATTAAATAAACACCGATCAAAACAATGGCTCCTGAGCATAGCCTACCGCCCAATTTCCATTTGCCCTCTTTCTATTTCTCTACGAGAGCCGCCTGTTTGTAAGAGCATAACATGAACATCCTACCGCAACCTCAAGACGAAAAACCCCTCAACATGTCTTCCCTGTCGCCCTTTTTTCCTCTCTTGTCTTATTAGCCTCAGACTTGTGCCACAGAGCAGAGGTTCACTGAAAGTCAATCCTCGTCAGGAGCGCTCTCTTCCCCCCATGTTAGTCCGCAAGTCTGCGTTAAAAGAAAAGACGATTTCTCTCTCCCCCCCTCCCCAAAAAAAAAAAAAAAAAAAACAACCAACGGACGGACGGATGGACGGACGGACGGACGGACGGGTTGCGGTGTTTCCTTCACCCTCTCTCTCTCTCTTTCTCGCCTATTATTTTCTTTCCTCGCTCCGTTTTCCCGGTGTGTTCTTGTAGCGTGTGTTACAGAAAGGAAATTGTCCTCCCTCCCTCCTCCTACTCTCTCGGTGTAGTCATTCCCCTCCTCCTATCTTCCGCTCTCCCTTTGAACGCAGAGCCAGGCAGCCATGCAGCCTGCAAATACACGCAGTGTGCCGCAGTGCTTCCATACATTTCACTTAGGGGAGGTGTGTGAGAGAGTGTGTATGTGTATGTATGTGCATTGAGGTGAGGGGGGGGGTCTTATTGCCCAGAGAAACTAACATGCTCATACTGCTCATCCCGAAACCTCTAAATCAAGTGTTTCTTCTGTTCTTTACATTTGTACTGGTGCACGACTCTTGAGTTTTACCTTATTTCTGCGCTGTTTAAGGCCACGTTAACATGGCAGAGTATTCGAAGGGGTGGGCTTATCATCAAGTTTAGCTGTGGAAGATTTCATTCCCAACTCATTACACAACCAACACGCAGGCCAAGGTCTTCACACAAGCCCAGCTGTGAGTCATGCAGCATGGAGTACCTTATGTTCCTCTGGCATTTTTATTGCTTGGATGACACCCAGTGGTCAAAGGCTACCAGGAGGTGCACATACTTCAAAGGCAATTTGCTGTAGCAAATTACAATACAAGCAAAAGATGATTTGAAAATCCTAATCTTGATTTTTAAGACCCCCCCCCCCATCTTTAATCTTAAAATGTATGACACAATGTCTCTTACTTTTGATGCAGGTTATTTCACTTTTCCACAATTTAAAAATCTGTTGTGTGTTATCCCTCCAAATCTCCAATGGCAGTGTATACATTTCTACTTTCATAATTACTTTGATAGTTACCTAGGTCACCATTTTGAGAAATATGGTTTCCCTGACGAGAGTAAATTAAGATGATCAATACCACTCTTAACTGTTAAAAACAAAGAAGCCAGGACAGTTAGCTTAGCTTAGCATAAAGACTGGAAAAGGGGGAAAAAGTTAGCCTTGGCTCTTTTTAAAAAGTCAACACTATATTCCTACCTCTACAGCTGACTGATTAACATTGTATTCTTTGGTTTAGTTCCTACAAATAACACACAATTATATAAGTGCCAGACAATTGTTTTGACTTGAAGCAGCAGCTTCCTAGTCTGCACTGGGTTGCCTGGCATTATGACAAGACATCATACATACATACATACATACATACAGGCGAATTCTTATAGTTCTGTTTGAGACGTTTACTTTTAATCTGTAAAGTCTGTGAGGCTCTTTGGCGGAGTGGTTTGCTAATTCTCTTTTTTCCATTAATTGTAATGTTATCTGTGTAAAATCATAATATGCATCACAAAAATATTAGCTGATGTAATACAAGCCATTAAATGGTATTGTGCTGACATGGTGCAGAATTTTAATTTGTTTAATCCAATTATAACACAATAAACCTTGGGCTATGTAATATCCCAGCAAAGCAGTATAGTACACACTGCACAGTGGGGGGTTGATTGGGTTAATTTTTGGCCTAATGCCCCCAAGCAGGTTAATCTGGCCACATTTGTACGACGAAGCTTCAGTGGAAATATTCTGAAGTTCACTTTCAGACGCAGTCACTATTACTGATGTTTTAGATCTTGTTTCCCTTCCTCAATTGTCTGCTTCTACTGCTGTAAACCTACTGTATGTTCCACATGAAGAGCAACAAAGAAGGCCAGTCTGACTCTCAGTCAGACTCAGTACACAAGGGCCAAGTGTTCACGTAAACAAAGCTGCCTCCCTTTTGTTGATGGAGTGCCACTTCCTGCTGTAAAACCAAGTGGCTGAGAGCTTAGAAACAAAAATATACACACACCCTCAGTGTCCTTTAAGAGCTTTTATTGCCAGTTTAAATGAGTGATGTCTGAGGTCTGAAAAAGAGGAGGCCAGTCAAGATATGGTCAGAACGGAAATGTAACCCAATGTGTATTTTAAACAGGAGTTCAACACAATTCTAGCATTGCTTACCAGATCATCATCATATCCATCACCTTCCTGTCAACCAACTTCAAGCATTATCCGTGTCGTAACTGAAAAACAGGAAATGGATCCGTCTTAATAAATAATTCAAATCCCTCCTCATTACTAAATCATTGTCCTGCTGTCATATGGAACCAGCAGCCACTACTGGCTCTCAGGCCGTTTTCAGTGTAATGGGGCTCATTCATGAGTGTTTTCATGTGATCTTCCAGAGTTCATGAGGGGTGTGGTGGGTGACTCGAGGACAGAGAGCTAATTTTCCTCACCGTCATTGGCCAAAGCATCCCTCGACACAAGGTCCGTCACGTGGTGAGCAGATTTCAGTTGAGCACATGAAGTAGATCTGAGAGCCGAGAGCAGAGGATTAGATGTAGCGTCCAGTTTCCAGAGTGTGCACAATGTACTGTGACAAACAGCTGCTGGCAATTGAGATTTGGCCAGAATGTGCAGTTTACAAAATGGCCTCTCCACATCTCCTTGTAATGAATGCTGACTTGAGATTTAGAGATACAGTTGTAAATGGTTTCATTTTCCACTACATGCTTTTGATGACTAAAGCGATAAACTGAATTTGCACTAAGGGAAAGTCATATACTTTAACAAATTTATATTTACTTTTGGCTAAAATAAACTGGGGGTCTAACTGCCACCCTCAGATAAGAATTTATTAATCATCACAAGGGAAAATTCATAAGCACCCTGGGCAGACAGCTGCATGTTTTACTGTTTTACAGTTGGACACTTGGAGAAATAACATAATTTAATTTCTTGCAGAGAGTCAGAGAAGAAGATTGATACCTCTCTCCTCTCCATCTGTAAAATATGGAGGAACAGCCAGTAGCCAAAAAGCTTAGTTTAGAATAAAGAAGAAAGAGAGAAAAACTTTAACTGTCTCTGTCGAAAAGAAACAAACACCCCCCTACCAGCACTTTATAAACAACTTCACACTTTGGGTTTCCATAGATTGAATGAAGATACAATTAATCATTGATCTTTAGAGGAGCTGGTTGGCAGATGTGTTACATATGGACAGAGCCAGGCTAGCTGTTTCCCCCAGTTTCCAGGGTTTATGCTAAGCTAAGCTAACAATCTCCTGGCTATAGCTTCATATTTATCCTACGAACACAAGAGTGGTACCCATCTTCTCATCTAACATTTGGCAAGAAAGCAAATATGTGCATTTCTCAAACTAACAAACTATTCCTTCAAATATTGTCATGTAATGATTTTACATGCCATGTCCCGTCAAAACACAGTTAGATGTCAAGAATATCCCGACCACTGTTATTTATAGAACCCAAGGGTCTCTGCTCATCCTTACCTCTTCTTCTGGGTCCTTGAACTCACCATCAGGAAGGAACTGGAAGGTGCTGATGGTGAAGCGGCGGGTCTGACCCTGAGGAAAGGGTGGTCGTGGTTTAGACACCACAGCCTGCTGCGGGGCTGGGTCCAAGGGGTTGGGACATCTAGGGAGCAACATTGGAGTAATGAACCAATCAGATAAGAGGATAATCGTTTCAAAAATATACATCTCTTCACTTTCCCTGTTGTCTCCATTCAGGGAAAAACTCTCTTAAAATGTGATATTTCTGTGCAGTGAATCTTCATTTCTGGTGTTTCTGCAGTAACTATGTTGAGCTCAATATTTTTTGTTGATGTTCTCTTCACACAGGAGATGTTTCAACATACCCGTTGTAAAGCAGCACCCACACAGATTTTCCTGAGCGGGGGTAGGCCACACAGAAGTGCACCAGCAGCACCAAACTGGGATCTGGGGCGTTAAGCAGCCGCACTTCCAGGTAGAGGGGTTTCCCCAGCAGCATCTGCAGGGGCTGGTGATACTGAGGGTGATAGCTGTTGTACTGAGAATCTGGGACAAAAGGAGGTGTGTTGGAATAACCAGAGATCATAATAGTAACTTTCGCCCACTCAAAACATCAGGTGGACATTCTCTACAGATGATCAGGATAGGTTTTGAAGCTTTCATATGGTGCTGAAATTTACGATTTGTTATTCAATCATCTCGACTGGACTAACCTTGTGTTCTCGGACAAAATTATATTTCTTAAGTTATGCAAAGCAGCTGTCAGTGCTGAAATGAAGACCATTCACCTTTGGCAATTCTGAGCTGGACTCCAAACATTCCCTGGGTATGAACCTCAGGGCCAAGGGTGGGCGTTTTCACCAGGTAGCTCACAGTCAGGACGGTGCCCGGCTGAAACCGGCACTCCACCAACAACCTGAGAATGAGACAGGAAACATGGTAATGGGAATCTAAAGCGTAAATGATGGCTGAACATAAAAACTGACAGGAAATGCAGGGAGAGAGAAGGGGAATGGCGACGACGATCCCACGCTGGAATCGAACCATGAAAATTGGCATCACTTAGATTCTTAGACCACTGGACATCTACTGTATAAAGTATATTTTTCCCCAAAGATAGTCAATGTCATGTAGGCAAGTAAAATAAGAAAAAAATACCAAATGTGTAATTGATTACAACAAAAACGTCAAGCCAAAAAAAGAAATAAAAAAAAAAAAGAAAAATCAGTTGCATCATTGCAAGTTTATCTCACTAACCTTCCTTAAAAATATTTAAATGAAATGAGTGTAACTGACATTAACTGGTTTAGTGTTTGGTCAAAATGAAACTCCTGTATCCTCTCTGCACTTCAGGGGAAAACATGGATGCAGTGCAACAAGCTCTGACCTGACTGGAGAATCTCTTGTGATGGTGCCATAGTTGAGGCTGATTGCCTGAACCTTGTTAATGATCTCCACCATGTAGATCACCACTTTCCCCACCCTCTGTCAGGACAGAATCAGACACACAAGTTAGTATATGGACTAATTAAATATAGGCCA